GGCTGTTCTTCTCCTCCTTCTGCTGTTTCTCCTGGTGGCTGTTCTACTCCCCCTACTGCTGGTTGCCCTGTATACAATAAGGACTTGTCATTACTTGTTAGAGATAATGGTCTGACACAATTTTATAATTGTTCATGAAAAGAAACCGTAAAAGTGAACAACAGCTCCCGTGATCGGCTATCGGTAACCTATGAGCCAACTGTTGCCAGACACATTACTGACAGCTGGCTGAATGAACCATTTTTTGTCTTTACTTTAATCTCCTACGTTGTATTTTAACCCTAAAAAAGACTTGTTTGCTTTATAGCAGAGAGGATGTTTGTCAATCACTACAATGCATTGCAAAACCACAGTATTTTTCCATTCATTTACCATCAGCTACCTCAAACTCACTTGATTTCAACTCCCTGTCAACTGCAGCTACTGTTCTTTTCCATTGGTTTAAATTTACCCTTAACTGATAACTTAAACATTAAGCAAAAAAGTCATTGATAGACGTCAGAGTGTCAAAATATAATGTATTTTCTGCATTTTGAGTGAACATTAAAGTTTTGTTGGATACCACACCTCCTTCCCCTGTTTTCCCTGGTGGCTGTTCTTTTCCCCCTTCTACTGATTGCAGTTGCTCACTACTGCTTTCACCTCTTTGCTCTGGTTTTCATCACAAAAATGACAATATATCAGTAGTATATACAATGATGAGTGCTTACTACTTGGTAGAAAGTCTTAATAGATGTGCTACACAGAACACAAAATTCATTATTACTGTGTGTTATAGACCTCCACAGACTCATACCCCACTACATTAAACCTCCTGCTTCTCAAACAAGATCCCGTTACCCTTGGATTTGACCGCATTTTTTCATTCATTTACTATCAGCTACCTCAAACTCACTTAATTTTAACTCCTGGTCAACTGCCACTAATGTTATTTTCCATTGGTTTAAATTTACTCTTAACTGATAAGTCAAACATCTACTAAAAAGACCTACTGATCGACGTCAAAGTGTCAGAACATACCTGATTGAGTCCTCCCAGTGGTTCCCCTGCTGGTTGCTCCTTCTAGCAGATCCCCTAGATGCTGCTGCTTTCCTCCTTCCCCTGTTTCCCCCAGTGGCTGTTTGTCTTCCTCTTGTGGTGATTCCTCTTGAGGCTGTCGCTCTCCATTGACTTCACCTCTTTCCTCTGCTTTTCATTACAAAAATAACAATTTTTCAGTGGTATATACAATAACGAGTCCTTATTCCTTGTTAGAAAGTCTTTAATAGATGTGCTACAGAAAATATAAATTATTATTGTGTGTTGTAGACCTCCACTGACTCATACCCCACTAAATGAAACCTCCTGCTTCTTAAAGAAGGTCCCATTTCCCTTGAATTTGACTGCATTTTTCTATTCATTTACTATCAGCTACTTCAAACTCACTTAATTTTAACTCCTAGTCAACTGCAACCAATGTTATTTTCCATTGTTTTAAATTTACCCTTAACTGATAACTCAAACATAAAGTAAAAAGACCCATTGATAGACATCAAAGTGTCAGAACATACCTGATTGAGTCCTTCCAGTGGCTCCTCCGCTGGTTGCTCTTTCTAGCAGATCCCCCGGAGGCTGCTTCTTTCTCTGTTCCCCTGTCTTCCCTGGTGGCTGTATATCTTCTCCTTGCAGTGATTCTTCTTGAGGCTCTTCACTGCTTTCACTTGTTTCCTCTGGTTTTCATTACAAAAATGACAATTTTCCAGTAGTTTTATACAATAATGAGTCCTTATTCCTTGTTAGAAAGTCCTTATAGATGTGCTACAGAGAACACAGATCATAATTGTGTGCTGTGGACCCCCACTGACTAACACCCCACTAAATCGAACCCACCCACCCACTATCTCAAACAAGATCCCATTTCCCTTGGATTTGACTACATTTTTCTATTGAAGTACTATCAGGTACCTTAACCTCACTTAATCTTAACTCCCTGTCAATCAAACTAATTGTACTTTCCATTGGCTTAACTTTTTTTAACTAATATGGGCATGTTTTGCTAGCTAACACAAGCATGATAGGCAATAGCCATACTAACCATCTCTTACTAATTTTTCCCGTTGCAACATAGTCACTGAAGCAATAAATAAGTAAGTGGTTGCGATCATTTCAGCACACGAGTTACCAAAACATTGCCGACAGGTCAGTGACAGGTTACCAACAGACAGCTGACAGTTGGCCGTCTGTTTGCCGACACTTTAGTCTGCAACATAACAAAAACTGTTGGCCAACTGTCAGCCGCCTGTCGCCCTTATGTCAGCCGACTGTATCTTTTGGGAACTGTTCTTCACTTTTACCAAAAGAAACACATATAGCGAGGTTAGCCATATGATTTTTTAATATATAAATCCAAGATCAAAATGCACTTCAGTTCACAGTACCTAGTACATGTATCACAGTAATTAGTAAACAGCCACTTCTTTTAATTCTTCTCCCAATGGATTAATTATGTAAACTTTTACTCATTAAACAAAGGGAATTGCCAATTGCTGATTATCATGATACCTGAAACCACTCCCAACTACAATATGTTAGTTGTACCTTGCTCTGAATCTGAATCTTGCTGATTATTTACATTGCAGTGATCTTGTTCTGTATCTGCCATAGTTGTCCAGGCCCTCGCTTCATTTTTACACACTTCAAGTTCTAGTTTTTCTTTAAATGGGAGAGAGACACCAAGAATCAATGTTCACCTTCCCATACCATATATGACAGAGGAGCATACCTCTGAGCTTACTCTTGCTTTATCAGCATGTCATGATGGGGGTAATTCTGGAAATTTCTTCTTCCTCAATTGGGAGGCTAGTCCATCTTAAACTGACAAGTTCCTAAATTCAAAGTTCATTCATACTTATTTATACTTCTGGGTGAAAAGAAGCTCTGTGAATAAGGTTTCAAAGAATACCATGCTCAGATAATGAACCAATTATGGCAAAGTTTAATCGCAGGGCTGCAAATAACAGCCGGTCAACGGACAATGTGCGGTCAAAATTGGGTACTGACCGGACAAATCCTTGGTTTGCCGGACATCTTGTCCGGTCCTTTACCGACTTGTTCAAAGAAAGTTTAATTTTTAACTGTTTGCTAATCACAAGGGACACAGTCTTGTTTCCAAAAGAAAAAAAACCAATATGAAAGTAGACAAATTAGTGGTGGAGAAATTCCTGGCAGTCGCAAATTTTCGCGATGTCATCAAGTCCTGTCACGACTGCAAATCATCGTGTCTTCCGTTATTTTATTTACTTTATTTAAGTGTTCCCAGTAAGTAGAGGGTTTTACCTTAGGCTAGATACCATCATTTACGCTTAAAGTGATTGATTGTTTGAACGATTGAATGATCGGAAAGCACCCTCACAAAGAATAATCTTATTGCATCGAGAATACTCCAAGTAGCATTTGTTGTAAAGTATAAAAGGCGAGCAAACGGCCCAAAACCTGGAGAATCCGACCACTCTTTTACTCTAACAAAAATTCACAACTGTAACTTTAAAAAAGAGGGCTCTGAGTATAATATTTAATTATAAGTGATTTTGCCAGATGTAAAGTAAAACGGACAATTGCGGTTGTATCTTGCGTAACCGTTCCACGTACTCAATGCGAGGCTGCTTCTNTCTGGTTAAAGAAAAATTCAGACCTGTAGCGGTCAAAATTGGGTACTGACCGGACAAATCCTTGGTTTGCCGGACATCTTGTCCGGTCCTTTACCGACTCGTTCAGAGAAATTTTAATTTTTAACTGTTTGCGAATCACAAGGGACAACGTCATGTTTCCAAGAAAAAAAAAACAAGATAAAAGTAGACAAATTAGTTGTCGAGAAATTCACGGCAGTCGCAAATTTCCGCGATGTCATCAAGTCCTGTCGCGACCGCAAATCATAGTGTCTTCCGTTATTTTATTTACTTTATTTAAGTGTTCCCAGTTAGTAGAGGGTTTTACCTTTGGCTAGATACCATCATTTACTCTTAAATAAAGTGATCGATTGTTTGACCGATTGAATGATCGGAAGGCACCCTCACGAATAATAATCTTGTTGCATCGAGAATACTCCAAGTGGCATTTGTTGCAAAGTGCAAAAAGCGAGCAAAAGGCCCAAAACCTGAAGAATCCGACCACTCTTTTACTCCAACAAAAATTCACAACTGTAACTTTAAAAAAAGGGCTCTGAGTATAATATTTAATTATAAGTGATTTTGCCAGATGTAAAGTAAAACGGACAATTGCGTTGTATCTTGCGTAACCGTTCCACATGCTCAATGCGAGGCTACTCCTACAGTAAAGAGTAGTAAAATTATTAACTTGTAATTTTTATTGCCAGACCGACTTGAATTCAGTTGTTTTTTAGTTGTATAAGGATTACAGTGCAATCTGGGTTCACTATCGCAAGAGTTCGGACTGTTAAAATTTGACCGGCCAAAAACGGGTAGTGTCCAAGCACTTGAAAAGCATGTTTAACCGGACAACGTGACCAGCGACTGCCCGTTAGTTATTTGCAGCCTTCAATAGCACTTGTTTAAATCACCATGATTAAAGCAAACAAGAGCACTTTGATTTACTACATATATGTTTTCAATCCCACTGAAAATGAAATCTTCTTGCTTTTAACTGACCGTCATCTTAATTTTAGTTTGAAAGGAGATTTAGTAGTACAAAGTTACACCGAAGAGCTTCGAAGGATCACATGTAACGAACAAGACAACAGATGACAACAGCATTTGCCAGGTCATTAAGCTTCTGTAGTCATTTGATGAAAACAAAAGTTCTGCACCATAAACAGCAACAAAGCTGCGTTTAAGCCACTTAAAATTCATTATTTCAAACTTATTTGTTGATGAAGAATGAAGAAGCCAGTACCTGCACAACTGCCAAAGAAGATATTTTTGAGCCAAAATATTTTTTTTTTAAACCCAGCCTAACTTTCTTGTGTGTGCAAACTAGTTCACCACTCTTTTATCAACTTGTTTTAGCTAGGGTTCCTTGTTTAATTCTAAATATTTTTACCACTGATGTTACATTGCTGTATTTTTCCTGTAACTGTGGCTCTCACACCATTTTTCTTTAATTCCAGGTCAAGTCCTTCTGAGCTGGTACCAGGAGAACCACCAACATCTGTAAAAAGCATCAACCATTTCAATTAAAGACTCTTTAATTCTATTACCAAACAAGAGAAACTTTCTCTACTTTACAACTTTTATGACTAAAGCATTCCAGTCATAAACATAATTTATGCTCCAGGAAATGGTCTTCTTCTTGGGTAGAAAACTTGTCCTTGAAAAATGGAGAACAGATGAAGACAGTCACATTTTTTCAACATCTAAACTCTGCAAGCATATATAGTGTATTTGAGTTTATGCTATGAAAAGTAACACCAGTGATCAAAAACGTTTTAAAAAATTATCAGCGTGGGCATAACTAAAAGAGGAGAATATTTAAGACAGTCAGCAAAAACATTAAGATAAAAAAGCATTAGCATACAGTATGTACTTTAAGTTTGGGTAAAAAATTAAAGTTATCCAGCAGAGGCTTAGTACAAAAATGTACTGCTTAACTATTAACTCAACCATCTACTGAAAATGCAACGTTTAATTATATTTATGTGAAATCCTCCCTCTAGAGTCCTTGTTAGAGAGGTTGGAAAAATTAAGCATGGAAAGACAACATAGAGATCAAACAAATTGTACCTTTTTCTTCCTTTCCCCATTTTGCTCGAGCTTCTCGAATATTCCCTCTAGTTTCACACTGCAAGGTTACTTAATCAAAGAGGGGAAAAATGAAAATATTTGAAAATCATTCCCAAGTCCTGCAATTACAGGTCAGAGCTGTATTGCAATGTTTTGAGTTCTCCTTCCAAATAAGAAATTATTTTAAATAACAGTTGAAAAGAAAGTTAAATTTTTAATCTGACATCAAAGATAAAGGGTGAAACAACAACAAAGTTGAGGATAACCACAAGAGTAAAACACCATAAATCGAAATGACAAAAGCAAACATTCAAAGTCAACCAAAAATTTTTTGAAGGTACAAAATCAATGAATAAACCATTTTAATTGTAATCATCCATCCTCCAATATAAAATAATAAACATTGAACAAGTGACAGCAGACTAAAAAACTTAAACAAACATTTCAAGAGGACTTGGAAATTGATAATAAAGCAACACAGATGAAATAAAAAATGTGCAAGTGCTAACAATTGATTACACTTCATTGTGCTGACTTGAATGACTAAACTGTGCTCTCTTGACTTCATTCAGTAAAAATTATTTACACAAGCACAAAGATTGAAATATCATATCATCGTCATTTTTGCAGCTTCAGTTTCTTACTGCTTAATGCATACTAACACTAGTTTGCTCTTGTCTTCTCTTCATCAGCAAGTGACAGAAACAACAGCAGACTTTGGGAGTGAGGGGGTACTGTAAGATTTCTTTTATGCTATAAATTCATACAAACTGGGTTGATAAATACTTAGTTATTATCCTAAGAACTGTACCTGATTTCCCGCATAAAGCTTCTCTATGTGCAGTCACAGTTATATGATAAGGCTCGGTTGGTCCACCTGGAGAAGCAAGCAATCTTCTATTTATATACCGTATTTATCCGTGAAAAAGTTGACCCCCATTTTTAAGGTCAAAAATCAGATATTTTATCATTTCTAGTTAAATAAAAATTCAGACCTGTAGAAATTTCATCATTTCTGGTTAAAGAAAAATTCAGACCTGTAGAAATTTTCCAAATGGTTGATCTCCTATTTCTGAAACTGTATTGAAAACAAAGCGAACAAAAAAAAATTGCAGGGCAAAATATAACTGTGTGCTGTGAAGTTTAGTGGCACTTGTTTACATCACCATGATTCACGATTTAAGCATATACAAGCACTTTGATTTAACGGAGAAGTAATTGACCATATTTTGTAACGCTTTGAAAATGAAATGTTCATGTGTTTAAATAACTTTTATCTTAACATCGAGTTTGAAAGGAGATTTAGTACACCAAAGTAACACCGAAGAATTTGAAAGGGTCACTTAATGGAAACACCGCGACCTTGGAAAACTTCCCAGCATTTGCCAAGTCACTAAGCTACTGTAACCATTCGATGAAAACGAGAGTTCAGCACCATGAACAGCAGTGAAGCTGTAAGGAAAAATGTCTGCTCTACAGATCAGAAGATGCAAACTTTTTTGTTGATGAAGAATGCGCTGAAAACTGACAAAACTTAAACACAACTGGTTTTGTAAACCCAGTTTTTCTAACGGAATTCAGGTAATTGTTATGCTAATTTCTTGGATTGCTTGGGTCAGGTCTTTGTATATGATCCGTGTATCAGTTGAGGACGATTTTTTGGGCTGAATTTTTCTGTCATAAAAGGTTGACTTAGACACAGATAAAAACAATAAGTGAGACTGTCTCAGCCTGAGAATATATATTTTCCCCAAGATTCCTAACTTGGGTGAAGTCAGAATCACCAATTGTTTCGTTTGAATTCTTCCCAAAAGGTATTCCAGAAAGTATTGATGAAGATATCCATATTTTCAGAGAGTAAAACCAATTAGATACCTTAGCAGTCCAAGAAATGTCTGTCATTTGAGAAGCAATACCACAATTTATAAGATCAGTCACTAAACAGACACATCTATTCATATAAGTAATATAAACCACAACAACAAAAGAGATCGTCTCAGTCTGAGAATGTGTGGTTCCAGAAAATATCCATACCCCCAACGGAAGACTTCTTGATTTGCACCCAAATGCATTGGGCAAACACATTAATGGCTTACAAATGGCTTTCACAAACCCCCAATATCCGCCTTGATACACAATCAGCCACTGCCGAAAACAATTTTTATATATCTCTCGATCATTTCTTACAAAAAAGGAAAATCCCTTGCCGGCGCAAAACTATCCTCAGAAGCTTCAGATAATTTCTGGGACAATTCATCGTCAGACAAAGTCGACATTTTACGACTGACAACGAAACAGTTCTCAAAAAAGTAATATGTGTGATTCTCTGTGCAGCGAACAAAGAGAGTTGTGACAAAGCAAAGCATAAGTTTGTTGAGCCTTTGACGTCATGATGACGTTTCCTGCTGT